AAAGCAACAAACGGTAGCGAATTCTAGGCCTATAAAAACCCAAAGCGAAGAAGACAGATCAAAAGTTTGCGTAATTGAATAAGAAGAAGAGTTAGGAAATTATGTTAACAGAGCAAAGAAGACTGATAAATGTTTCTTTTTGAACACAGATCGAATTCCAGACGTTCAATAGGTATAACCTTAATACATTCCAGAAGAACTACGGTGAACTATTTGCATATTCTTCCAACAGCATACCATTTCAGAACACGGTGTAAGGAATACACCCCAAAATATTAGACACATTTTGAATTAAACAGATGTAAATTAAGGTAGTCGTCATGTTATTACTTTTCTGAATGTCCCAATTACCTAAATAAGATCTGTTATTTATTATTAGTTTTTTCTAATATATAATCTGTCAGCCCAGGATTGCTCCTTGGATCTATTTAAAAATATGTTAGTCGCATAAAACTGGATTTGCCAGCAGTCAGTTAACACGAATTAACATTTTAATATTTTTTAAACAATTAGTTGACGAAACGCTTAATTTAAATGATAATGTATGGAACTATGAAAGCGCTTAAAGTGATAGTTGTTTAATTTGTCCCGCATTTTTTCGATTTCTTCTCATCTTATCCTTCTTTTGGATGTCTAAATCAAGGATGATTTTGACTTTATCAAAACTATCAATGTTACTTGTTATTTCTTGTGAATTGTTGACTTTGTTGCTCTAGAAGTGTTTGCCATGCTGTAATACAATCAAAAATTCACCTGTGTGACATAGTCTCCTACTTACTTGTTGACTTTAAAGATAGCTGACGATATTAAACGCTATTTTTCAAAACAGCAGTTAGATAACCATATCTGTGATTTTACTTAAATTCATACTAAGTATTTTATTACAGACCATAAAGAAGTTTATAAATGAATTACATGTGAAGTCAGCACATAGTTGACGCTTTGATCACTAGTAACCTAATCTTGTTGACTTCTGTATAATTTCTGAATGTTATTCTTATTATCTTCTGATGTGTATATAGTGTGCAGATTAACACAAACAGATTCATAAATCTGAATGTGAACCAAACCCATGCGTTCAGGACACGTTTAGCCATTTACACTTTGGGTGATTATGGAAGAGCTGGCTGACTGACTTATATTTTGATTAAAACGTTAACGCATCCTTGTGTTATAATGCCATCAGCATGTTGATATCCCAGCAGTTTAAAACTACTTTATACTTGAAATAAGAGGACCGGTCTGGTATTAATATAATGAAGCGATGAGTGATATGCAGGTCAGTAAGTTGAAAATCGCTGATCCTATCCATCCCAACACCAACATTTTCTTCCTAGTTATCATTAGCATTTAAAATAAACTCATGAAATAAAAGGACTGAAGACAAATGATATACTGCTAGACTATTCAGATTCATTGCATTAAGTGTATCCAAATACTAGTTCACTCGTAATCTTGTCTTTTGAATAACTTCGCAGCATGGCGTTTACTTTCAGCCTATACCAGTAATCAAATGACTGGCTTTTTACCACGTGGATTAGCTAGTTTTAGAAAGACAGATTAGACTGACTAGCTGACCAAGAGAAAAATAAAGCCTTACAGGAGCCCTACAGAGTTTGCAAGTCCACAATATTAGCTAACTAAGAACTACTGAAAGACTTGATTTAGTTATAAAAAGTAAATTTTCCTCAAGAACATAAACATATAAGCATCTACAGTAGACTAAGATTGATCAGAAAATTAAAAAATATCATTCCTGTAAACAAGATTTATTTTACAGGCCAACGTAAGTTATATGTGGAAGTAGTCGTTTTTCTTTGTATCATGTGATAACCTGAAGGTCCTGCGTCCGACCCCTGATAAGTTCGTAGGTGTACAATGTTGAGCAGTCCCAAACTAGTTCTTAACAGCTGTCCAGTTCTCGTTGGTTTTTAATGAATCTTTTAGTGATGTCTGTTTGTGACAAAATCTTTATAAGACTAAGTGTGAATGAATGGAAATATTTACTTACTCTCACGATACTGTTGGTCGAGAGGAATACGAATCAGATACCAGCTAAAAATATGAATGACTAAACGTCAAAACAAAGTACAGGAGATATAATCAGTCAGGTGATATTGTAACAACAGAAGACAAAGGTCAGGCAATAGATCGCTTATTAAGGAAATCAACGCATATTTATATATTTTCATGTACATTACTATGGATATTTAAGCAAACAAACACAGTCTTCCGATTGGTTGTTTCTCACGTAAAGTTAATCTTTCATCTCTTTGTGACTGTTTCTTGAATGTCAGATCATTTAGATTTTAACTGTATCCGCCTACGCAAAGTCTGCTGTGGTCGATTTTGAATCAGTCTTTGTTCATATTTTCTCAAGACAAATCCTGAGAACGTAAACATTGACGTAAATTACTGTCTACCAATTTGGCTAGTAGACAGCTCTCACCACAATATGAATAGTTTTATTGAAAGATTAGGTATATTCAGAAATAAAGAGCGTGAATAAGTGAGTCTGTCAGGTCAAAGGAAATAGGATGAGAAACAGAAAGGATGATCCATTATTATCAAAAATAAAATATTAAAATGTAATGACAGGGAATGAGGAAGACATGAACTTTTGTGAGTCACATTTTTATTATGACAAAAATAGCCCACACTCTACTCAGTGCAGCTGGAGGCAGTCGACGTGACTTACTTTTCGTATGTTTCTGTGGGCTTCAGTATGGTATATCTACAAATAAATAGTTTTATTTAGATGAACGCTCAACGTTCAGTTTAGCTTCAGTAATGACGTATACAGACAGAAGGATGGTTTTGGGATGGGATCACTGCTGGCTGATTGTCCTATGTCAAAGCTTGAGAACACTCAGCCTACTGAAACTATTGGTCTCTTTGATATTTAAGTTTAAAATCTGTGGTAAGGACACAGTAACTGAAGATATTTTACTACCATTCAGGGATAGTTACCCATTCTTACAATTTACGACAAAAAGTAAATTCGAACTAGGCATTTCTGTTTGTGATGTGTTCCTAAATAGGCATAATGACGGATCTCTTAAAAGAATCATTTACCTAAAAGATACATAAAATGGCCAACTAACTACTTTCTCTTTCCGGGAAAATAAATCAGATTCATTTCATCTGTTATAGGATAAGAAAGATTTGCATTTCTAACCGCGTTGAGGTGGCACATTCTTCTCTAAAATCCACACCTGGTAGAAAGGAATACCCTAATCAATTTAGTAATAAAAACACTACTGGTGAGTATTCTAAGCTGGCCATCAATTCAGTTCAAAAGCAACCTGTCTCCATGAATCTAGAATTCAAAGGTGATCATGCTTTAGATATGCTCAGAAATCGCCTTTCTAAATCAGTCAGTAAGACATCCTTTGCAACGAAACTCCAGTTGACCCTGACTAACCTGAATTTGTTCACCGTTAGTGTTAAGGATAGGCTCCCTTGTCAGGCCATCTCCATGTGCATCTGTCACTTCACCCGCTCTTGTAGAGCAAGTTACATCAGCCGTAACCAGGGAATGCTTTCAACACGGATACGACGGCACATTCCCGCATAGTTTCACAAGAAAGAATGCAGGCGTTTGAGAGGGAGGACCTATTCTAGGACTCCTCAATAACTGTCATTCAAACAACACTGACCGTAACTCTAGGATTATCTATTGAATTCATGCCAACTTACCGAGCTTTTTTTGCTACAAAATTCTAAAGAAAGCCTTGGTTATTCATGAACTAAGCTGGTCATTTGTACAAAAAGAACTATATACGGTCTCCATTCTTACCTTGGCTATGCAGGAATAATAATTTATTTATTTATTTATTTAACCTATGTACCTTTCTTTTATTGGTATAGTTTTCATCATCACTTTGAGCAGCTACCAGTATTATTTCACTTGTCCCATTCATTATTTTAAATTAATATATTTTCGGAATGCTAAAATCTATCCTCAAGAGTTAGTTTGTACAGATTTAATTTGTTTCAAGTTTGACCATGAATTCATATCATTTAGATGCTTGCTAGTGACTGGCTAAAGGTGGAAGTTGCCTGGAGTTCTAGTGAGGAGTCGTGACCAGTGGGGTCCAACCGGTCGGCAGTGAGGATAAATACTCGCCGATGACACTGGCTATCGGTCGGGCTGAAATCCCGAATTGGTAGAAGTTAGGATTCATGGGCCAATGAGTCGGAGCCCAGTAGCTGAATGGTCTGCGACCTTTCCTTGTAACTGAGTGGTATTGCGTTCAAACCCCTGTGGGTGCGTACTGATGAGGAGTCCCAAACTTCAGTGAAACAGATGTCCAGCACTCCCTGATATCCAATGATTCCCTCTGACTGTTATCAGTCCGTCGGAAAAGCTGAAGGAAATCTATCTTATCACACTTCTCATTATGTTATCTGATATTTATTCTATTTATTTTTCATCCCCATTTAGGATCCATGCATTTTGTGAACTATTTTATGCATAATACGATCTGTTTTATCGATTCAGCTGACTTATGATTGTAATCACGAGCATTTTGTCACATTCCACATTATCATTACGAGTATTCGCACCTGATGGTATTACTCAAGATATCCAAATCAGAAATATCTCTTTTGCTGACATAACAATCTCCATATTAAGGTAGATTTCGACAAGAACCGATATTACATAAAGTGCCACTGAAGTCCAGGTAGCTACCTTGTTCTGCTCTTAACTGTTTATCAATGTGCACTCATGCTTCAGTTCCATCAGCGTACTTTGTTATTTTTCAGTACTTTAGTTCATAGAACTTACTGGACCAACTTGTATTGACGTATCAACATTGTTTTACAGAAAGCTAGATACTGGTGTGATAATGTACATACGTCTTGCAATTCAAACGATCCTGTAGTGTATGTATTAAGTGATAAATTCAATATAATCGGTAATTTAGAAATATTTTCCAAACATAAATCATAATCATTTATTAACTGACATTTACTTAATTTTTTTATGCATTCAGGTGGTCATCATTCACAAGAGACTAATGCTGGATATTCAAGGAAACCAAATGGTGGTCATTTTATGAATTGAAGTTTTGAAGAAATGAGATACAATGACAATATTGTATTGAACACTCAAACAAACATCTATCATTGCATTTGTTGATTATTTTCATCCTATCTGTACTTAAGAAATGCCACTGAAGAGGCATTGACATAACAAATATAACTTGGTGGATATCCAGTTTTTGATTTACTTTTAATCTAGTGCTTACTAGTCTGTTAAACAAAAGCAAATTCTATCTTCAACAGTTATTTCACATAACCATTAAATAACTAGTTTAAGATTTCAGAACTATGCTTTAACTAGTTAGTATGTACCAATAAAATTCCCATCAAGTGACACTAAATCCACGTTAGGGTCAAATGTCTGGCTTACAAGTCACGTAAATACTGATTCATAATATGTCTTATCCTGACCTGGCGCTACCTTCTCCCTTTGTAACTCACAATATTGACAAAAACAGACCTTAGAAACTCATGTTGATTAGACATTTTGGTTTACTTTGTAACCAAGATAATTAGAGTCGTTTGGTTTGGTGATAGTCAGAATTAGAAAACAAAACGTGTAAATTTGCTAATTCTACGTCATACAGTGCTTCTTATCCCATTTCTCATGACAAAACTCATCAGTGATCAATAAATCATAGGTCACATTCTAAAAAACAACCACGTGAAGACATTTAATTGCTCAGTACTTACATATTTTATATTGGGGCGGTGAGTAAGGTTGAAGGGAAGAAATCGACAATCTTTCTTTGAATAACCTATCAGTAGTAAAGGTGACAACACTTCTGTGTACTGATTAGGCCACTGGTGTTACCCCAGTGATTGTTTAAAATCATAGAAGTGACTGATGGTCACCTCTCAGGTTAATAGCGTCAGCTCGCATTCCATGAAAACCAAAGATTTCATTTTAAGTAATAACTTCACCACATCAGTCTGATAAAGCTAATTTGTTTCAGAAGTTCTCAAAAAATTGAAAAATGCAACCAAATTTTCAACTCCACTTTTGTAATTTTCTACTACTTTAAGTATGGTAACTGAAATTAAAATGAGTCCGAAAACAAAAAGTTAAACCCCTTCATTCTTCGAAAAACTAATTTACTAAACGCCAGAATTCTATCCGACATTGAATTCAGTGCAATGATCCATGGTGCACTTGTAATTACTATTGCAACTGAGTTAATTCAGTGATGGGATTTTTTTGTTTCTCCAACTATGTACTGATTGATCAACAACCGTAGATATGATAGTGGTTTTTAGAATTTAACTTTACCTAAGATACATGATCCCAAGGCTGAGTATTTTTTGGTTTAACGTTATTATGCATCATTAAATCGCGACGTTAGAGCACTTCTTAAAGCGTGAAGAAATAGTTGAATTAGCGCGTATCACGTGGAAAACAGATTTCTTCCCGTAACACATCTCAGCACCAAAATACAATTAAGTCTAAACTTTTTATCACTAACCAGTCTTTTGAAATATTAAAATAGCTAAATGTTGACCAGACAAACTTCTAGTTTTGTTCCAATTAGTATTCATCTAAGTAGAATCACACACCATACTTAAGCTTTCTTTATACTGATTATCACTTACCGTCTCAGGAACCTTAGCGTAGTCATTACAAACCAAAAAGTTGAAACAATTTTCCATAAAGGAATCTTTGACCTTTTATCCACCCGAATATATATTCCATGATAACATACTAGTAAATAACTCAGCCTTTTGTTTTTGTTTCTTTCTGGCGGAAATTGTAGCTCAAGTAATCTACTGGTTTAGTAAGTATTGATGTACGTTAAATTCGGTGGGACTGGGAATCAACAGTACATAAGGCGGAGAAGTTAAAGAATAGTAATCCAAAGGAATGAGTGAACCAGTAATCAAATTAATTATATTTAGATTTCAACAGTTTTCTACACACAATGATATGTTTTTTACTTTGGTTATATTACTAGCAAAATTACTACTCGTGGTCACACCAACTGTTGGAGTTGCTTTTTAATTCAAACATATATAATCTGTGGTCAATGGCAGTAATTTCGGTCGAAACATTACCAAGACATAAAAACTTATCATTGTGTGTAAACTATTGAAATGTGGTTATAATTAATTTGATCTATTTCATGATACACAAACTTCTTACTGATAATCAAATATATATCGTTCATTTCTGTGTATCCAAAATTATATCCCAGGTTGTTGACAGTTGGGCTCAGTCACCCTTGTTACATGTATTCGGTGTGACCTTCATGAATATAGATTCCGTTATTATGCTTCCTTCCCATTTCTTCTCCTTGGATTTCAGAACATAAATGTTGTTTCAGTCAGCGTAATGGTGTCTTTTCCATACATGTGCAACTACTGATAAAAAATTTTCTAAATTACTATGTGTTTGTGTTCCTGTGTGATTAACTGTAGTTAGAAGTTTATGTTCATTCACCCCTAATTTGAGTGATCCAGACGTTCGACCCACCTATTTAGTCATTATATTCAGCACAAGATATTTTGTAAATTACGTTACTTCTGTCCAACATTGCCATGTGACTTTCTGGTTGATTAATTTCTAATTAGATTCATTGTTTTAAGTGTGGTACAAATACCAATATTTTTGAGGCTTCTTGGAATTGCGTCTGATGTACCATTTTTGTATGGTGTTGTGATCGTCCTTTTGTAATCGTCTTCCTTCTCATTCTTTGTTTTCACTTTCTTCCTCTCTTCTTCACATTATCTCTGACAAATTCTTTTGGGTCTTCTAGTAACAATTTGAGTAAGATATTAATGTGGTGATTGACTATTTCTATCTTTGTATTGTTTAAATACTTACTGTTGTTTGTTAACATATTTATTATTTGCAAGTATTGGTTTTGTAGGGATTTGGTTTGATTGCATGGAGGGTTTCATCATGAGCTGACATCAGTTAGAGAACCACTGGAAAACCAGCTGGGAGTACTGGACAGCTGTTTCGTCCTAGTTTGGGACTCTTCAGCAGTACGCGCCCAACGGGATTCGAACCCAGGACCTTCTGGTTACGAGGCGAGCTCGTAGACCATTGAGCCACTGGGACCCGATCCAATGGTCCTTGAATTCTAACTTCTGCCAATTCACGACATAGCGCGACCATTTCGCAATGTCTTCTTCGTGAGTAACTGTCCTCATCTTCGACCTGCTGTACCCTACTGGTCACGGCTTCCCACTAGAAAAATAATTCCGCCAAATACAAATTCCTAAATTCATCCCTCTCATTGTTTTGGTTGAGTTCCTGTAATTCGGTCATTGCGAAATACAATACTACTAGTACAAATAATAATCACAATTAATTTCTTTTCTTTGGTCATCTGATGTCGTAAGTCTGCGTATCCTGTCTGCAAGAACTTATAACAACCCTTTTTATCGTGAGTAGATGAGTTGAATGATAATCAAGGAATCTCTCAGAATGAGTAGTTTTTCTAGACATAGTCGTTTTCGCTCTAAATATTACCACAATAAGAAAGATCCATCATTTTTGGTAAACAACCAATGGAACATAAGTACAATTGATATGATTTATTTCACAGTGTGCAAACATTTCGCAGACATTAACTGTACCAATAATCTTCAAATCCCCAATCAGAGAAAGGCAGACAAACCACATCACTAACACAATATTCGTAAAACAGTTTGGAAATGGCGAAGAATATTACGTAGGATACCTCTCCCTGTACGATTTTTTCTTCATCCCCAGTACTTATTTCTAATTCTCTTTTTTCACCGAAATCTGCCAAATAAATCTGATTGCCCTTTGGAGGGTAGTTTGTGTGTTCATTCCCTCTAAGTGATGATGAAGGTGTAGCGGTAGATAATTCCCCAGAATTATTGGCCACAGCATTCATCACTAAACATTGGGTGCTGACCCTCACTGTTTTAGTCGATTTGTTTAGCTGAAGGCTTCCGGCCAAGCATCTACGCCATTTTGCACGCTGTCGTGTTACGTTCGTTCGCTCGTGCACAATCCCTAGCTAGTTAAGCAATCATCTCGCACTCCGATTTGGTCCCGAAATATAATTCGTAATTTGGACGGTCAACTATGGTGTTTTACTTTGCCTATGGTCTACGCGGAACGATTACCATAGAAGTTGTGGGTATAAGATCTTGCGTTAGTATAATTCGTACCATCCGTGAGCGTCAACTCCCTTAGCCTCTAAACTGGTGAGCCCTACCGTGAACTTCATCTTTGGTAAATACATAGACAAATCCGGTGAGTCCGTTCCATTTTATATTTGTTCTTGTACTATTTTTAAACTATATATATTTCACCATGATTGATCATACTCCTAAGGTCATTCGTATTCGATCAACAACCAAGACTATTCAACCCGTGCCATTTTCGCCTGACAATGCAGAATCATGGTTTCAGATAGTTGGGTTTGATTTCAGTGAACATGGGTTAACTGACCAACGTTCAATCTTCCTTGAAGTTGTCCACGACCCACTACGGGAATTAAGCAAATGCGTAACTGTGCATATGTCGAGCCCAGAGCTAAGTAACCCGTATGAGTTGCTTAAAGCAATCCTCCTAAAGAGAAACGACCTCACGGATCGACGGCGTCTTGACGAACTATTTCGCAACGTGTAGTTAGGGGATCAGTCGGCTGTGAACATGCTAACGAGGATGAGGGAAGTTATCGGCCAACGTCAGTTCGATGAGGGACTTTTCAGAGAACTGTTCTTATCCAAACTGCCACAGTCAGTACAGGCTGTGCTTGTGACACTTCAAGATGTTATTATAGTCGATTTAGCTAACTCTATCGATAAAATTCTAGAAATAACAAAACGGTCAGTCACTGAAATATGCTCTATTGTGGAACAGACTTCGAGTAAAAACACTGTAGTGATAGAGTTATGCAACTCTCTACAGCAGCTACTTAAGTCAGACAATCCCCGCATTTCCTACCACCGTCGTTTGAATTCAACTCAACGGCGAAAGCCACGTGGTCAGTCAAATTCCAAGCCACGTCCAGTTAAAAACCCTGACTGGTATTGGTATCAAAATACCTATGGCTAGGAAGCGAAATGTTGCGGGAAGCCTTGTAATTTTAGTAATATCTCGAAGACTATGGGAAACTATCCCGCCGGCACGCGTAGTGGCAACCGTTGCCGGTGGCATTAGTGGCCCCTATACATCCGTTATGTAG